CTGCCACATACCCATCTGTGGACATAAGTCAGAGGAACTTTCCGGAGCCTTCGACTGCAAATGGGGATTTTATGTCTTGGTTTGGATGTGTGTTGATGCTTTTTCTTAGCAGCTTGGACATTATGAGAACAGCTGAAAACATCAGAACATGACTTTTCAGATTCTGGGGAATGAAGTGGAGTAAAAACTCAACCTGCTCATCCCAGATCCATCACAATGCTTTGCATAATAATAATGTACAAGCTGTTGTCCAATGGACAGTTTTACTGTGTGTGCCCTTCACTTCTGATGAGCTGGAGTCCCAGTGATTTAAGTAACTGCCTCTTTATATGTTCTAGCTCTTTGGGTAAAACTGATGCAGTTATTGTTTTTCCATAATGATTGCTTTGCTTTTTTGTGTTTTTTTTTAATCTATTGAATGAAACCTATATTTCTTATTTATTATATACACCTTTGCTCCTTTTTAAACTTTAACATTATAAGAGAAGACCATGTTGCTTTTAATAGGAAATATTTCTTTTATAGCAATTTCAGGCATAAAGAAAAATATATAAAATTCAAACAGTTATCACCTATGTTTCTAACCTGCCTCTTTCAAGAACATTTTTGCATCTGAAAAAAAAATGTTTCTTTGTGTGCTTGACAATGAACAGTTGCCAAAACTCAATGATAGTAAAAATAATGACCACTATGTCTGTGCCAGGTATACTTTAAACACTCTACATATGTAATTTCATTTTTATAAAGCTCTGCAGTTGTTAGTATTGTTATGTGCCATCGAGTTGACAATGACTGAAGCCTACTCTATCCTGGGCTAATCTCACTGTCTCTGACACACCTGCCCCATTACCCCAGTTACTGTGTCAATCCATCTATCTGGGGTCTTCCTCTCATGTGCTGTCCCTCCACTCTTGTCTGTCTTTTTTCCAATGGAGCTGCTGGTTGATTTGAACCATCTTCCTTTCAGTTGGCAGTCCAACTTCTTACCACTAAGCCACCAGAGCTCCCTAATTAAGGAGTAGAGTTAAGATTCTGATAAAAAGCATCATAGCAGCCCTAGGAATGTGGTGCTATCATACTTTTGTGAGATCACTCAGGTTCAGGGAGCTAGTGTCATCTTCTGGGTGTTGCTGTTGTGTACTGTTGAGCCAGAGCTGACCCATGGCTGATACTTTAGCAAGTGTTCAAAGTCAGTAAATTGCATCCAAAGAGATTGTTCATTTTTCTCCCACTGAGTAACTGGTGGGTACAAACTGCTTGTCTTCAGACAGTGAGTTCTAGAGCTGTCTTTTTTGGAGACGATCCTATTTCTTATACTCCTTGGAAGGATCCTATTTAGTTAAACAGATTCTGAAAACTTATTGAGTTCTACATCCTGTATCAGTTGCAAAAATGTGTATGTGTTTGTGTGTGTGATTTTACATATTCATGCAGATGGAGAAGGTTCTGTTTCCTAATTAACTTTTCTTTTGAGGGAAGCCACAAATCCCTTTTGGTATCTACTACTATCTTATTCATGCAGATGCTACTGAATGAACTGTCTGTCTATTGGTTGGGGAAATGTGATACAAATAAATCATTGAATAAGCAGTGTTTTATAAATGTCTATGTGCACTTTGGCTTATGCTCAGTAATTAACTAGGTCCTATATTAGTCTGATGAGCTCTTCACTATGAACCTAAACGCAACTTTTAAAATATTGCTACATGTGGTTTTATGACTGAGCATTTCCTAGTTGAGGTAATAGACTACAAATTGAGTAGCTTAAATGTGATCTCTTGTTGGATGGGCTTTTAAGCAGGATTATAGTATATTTGGGAAAGAACAGTTTCCTCTCATGCAACTTACAGACCCTGGAAATCCACTAAAAGGTTTGCTGTGATTTGATTCTTACTTGACAGCAATGAGTAAATAAAAATATTACGTTGGAAAAGGCAAACAACTTGGAATGAGGATGTGTAGATTCTATTTCTAGTCTCTGTGCTGTTATAACTGTGAGCATTTTCAAGTCTCCCGATCTAAATTTTCTCATAAGCAGAATTAGGAGGCTAGGCTGACTAGTAGTGGAGATGACTTACACATTTGGCCAACCTACGACAGTAGTTTCGTTTTTGACGGCAGATAAATGATTTTGTTGAGTTTTAGTTTTCTTGCCTTTCAAAGAGGTTGCTCATTCTTGACTTGCCTGTTGTAGAGAGCTTACAGGGGGATTCAGTGAAATACTGAATGACTATTTCAAGAGTGCCTGGAATAATAGCACACTGCATGACCACAACGTGATATTATTGATATTGAAAGTTAACGGAAAGGTGTTGGGTTTCTCGCCCTAAAAAAGAAGACTTGAGTTAAAAGGAGTTTGATCCCTGTTGGGCTGTTTCCTGGAGTTTATGGAACTCCACAGGGTAAATAGGGGCTTTGTCCCATGGCGGGTCAGTTTCCCACAGTTGGGGCAATGCTGCCCTCTCCTTTCTCCTGACAACACTTTATAAAACACGCCCGCCACACAAAAAAGTGGTAATTCCTCAGAGCAAAGCGAGGTTTTGGGTTACAATAACCCCTGCTTTGTTAAAAGCCCCCTCGGAATCTGAGATCTTCTCCACAGGCCAGCAGACGTTGGCATGTCCCTGGGTTTACAAATGCCTTATAAACTTAGCCTGACAAATCATCGCCTAAATTTCTGTGTCTCATCTCTCTCTTTGGGAGATATTTTTAACTTCTTCCAACTTTGCTCTGTTCCTTTAAGGACGCTTGATCCGAAAGGGTCAGCCACTTGGCTTCCACTTAGGGGAAAACTTTGAGAGAATTCCTGAGGCTCCCCCTGGGGTAGGACTGGCTTTCCCCAAAAGAATGGTCTCTTCAAAGTGTCTTTGCCACATAAGGGCTTGTATAAGGCCCCAGGCACCAGTTGACGGCCATCTCTTCTCCACGACAGATGGTCAAGCCTTCAATTTCAGCAAGTGATCCGCTGTTGAGAGGGCGGGCAGGGGATTCAGCCAGCACGCCAAGTGACAGGGCAGCTTAGGGTAACAGGGATCCGGTGTGTGCCGGGCATAGCTTTTGTGCTAACGATGGGCTGCTGACAGGCGCTTCACCCTGCTCACCCCTGAGGCAGAAGATCCCCCCAGCTCCTTGATTGTGTTTCTCTGGCAGAATTAGTGCCCTGTTTGCCTGCCTTTCAAAGTCCATTTTGGCACCAGATGGACCCCCTCATGGTGGCTAGCAGTTGTCTAATTTGAAGAAGCCAGAGCATGTGCTGACAGCTCCTTCTAACACAACCTGAATCTGGCTGTCGGAGCTGGGCTCAAATGGCTTAAACACACACAGGCGGCAAATATTACCAACCATGGGGACCAGCATGGTGGCCATTGGAAGGAGACTGTCAGTGACTTCCCCCTCAGTACTGTTCACATTGATGTTCACAACAACGGCACCAAACACTCTCACTGGAAAAAAAAAGGATTATTTTTTTAATAGTGTTTTATTGTGGCAAAATAGATATAACACATAATTTGCCATGCTAGTAAGTTTTAAGTGTACAGTTTAATTGTATTTATTACACTCATCATGTTGTGCAAACCTTTGTTTTCATCATCTAAACAGAAAATTTGTACCCATGAAGTAATAAATTTCTATTCTTCCCTCTTCCCAGCTGCTTGAAAAAACTAATTGGAACTTGTTGCCATTGAATTGGTTTCAACTTATGTTGACCCTCTATAGGCTGTAACTCTTAAGAGGAGGAGACTACTTATCTTTTTTCTGAGAAGCAGCTAGAGCATTCAAGCACAGCCTTCTTGGTTAGCAGCACAGCACCCTGCAAGCTAGGCCAGCAGGGCTCCCCTTCCTAGACACTCGGCAACCATAAAAAAATCTCCTTTCTGTCTCTATGAGTTTGCTTATTCTAGGTGTTTCATATAGAATGCCCTGATGACATGATGCTTAAAGTACTTACCTGCCAATCAAAAGGGATGGTTCTACTCTATCTTTCTCTCTCTTTTTTTGGGGGGGGTATATGAACTTTGTGAGCATACAAATATAACTTTTTTTTATGGTACACCTTAGTCTTCTTTTACTTCTACTCTTTTTTACTGTAGCTGAATCAGAATTTACTTGATAGCAATGGGTTTGGTTTTTCTGTTTTAGGTATTTATTGTAAGTGAAAGCATACAATATTAGTGTTGCAAGTAGCACACTATCTTCAAGTATATTTTTCCATCCCTTTGCTTAATATTTTTATGTTTAAATTTAAACTTCATTCTTTTTTATAGCTGAATAGTATTCCATTATACATATACACCACATTTCCTTTTTCCAGTTTTTATCTGTTTATAAAGAAAAATATTCCCAATAGCACAGTTGTTGTTAGAGTATATTTGTTATCATTGATACAGTGTGTATTGATATAATTACTGTACTGCATTCCCTGTTCAATCATAAGTTATTTTGTCTATAGCAGACAGTCTAGAAAAACAATGGGAAATAAAAAACCTGAGAAATCAAATAGATTTAGTCAATATATAAATCCTACTTAATTCCTATAGTCACTACCTATTAGAATGTTATAGATAGTAAGATGAAAAGTATTGACTATATCCTTATATTCATCCAACATGTGCTTTTCTCCCTCATCATCTGTGCATTTAGGGAGCTTAAATTCCATGTTGTTGTGGGATAATTGTCATGTTGTTACTGAATAATTATCAGACAATTATATGTGATTTGAACTTGTCTTTCACTGTGATGAGGACTCCTTGAGGGCTTAATATCACAATCCTTTTGTGAGATGTTAGGAGTGCTAGGAGTGACTCTTTAATGATGAGGGTGCACATGTGATGGACACCAAAGGCTAAAGCCTCAAATGAAACAGCAACTCCAACACTATTTAGAATGCTTCTGAAAATGCACGCAGAGAATAAAATGCACAGTCTCGACGTGCTTTATTGCCTGCTTTCCTCCTGTCCCAGGTCTGAAATGCTAATTCTGATGACTTTTTTTCTTCACAGGTTCTTCTTGAAATTTTTCCTCAAATGTAACCAAAATTGCCTAAAGAATGCAGGAAACCCCCGTGACATGCGGAGATTCCAGGTAAGTCTACCTTGTCTTTCTTAACTCTCAATAACATGAATATATATCAAGAAGGGCTGAGGCAGAAAGCAGTCGTCTCCCTAGAGGTGAAGAGCAGGTGAGCTCTTGGTCTCCCAGGTACCCAGGCTCGTAAAGTTGTTTTTCTTAAGAGGAGAGTTGAGAGTGAGCCACCTGCGTTCACTGGTTGAGACAGTGGTTCCCTGGAGTCGGCTTTGGCTTCCTGACAGGACTCATGTGCCTACCCTACCACTAGGAAACTGACATACAGTACACAGAGGAAACACTTTTTGAATGATAGGTCTTTTCCTCCCTAAAATTATATTTCCTTTTTTTGTCCTCTCTACTTGCTCTCTTCTTCCAGTCTTGGAAATCATTAGTAATAATTTGTCATTAAAATCAGATTCCTTAAGGAGCAGAGTATGTTCCTGAATCATGATTTTTTTGTTTCAGGAATCTCCTTGGTAGATATTTTCCAGAGTCAGTCAGCTATATTTCTACTTCAAGCTTCACTGGTAGGTTAAAAAGAACAGGTCATGAAAACCAACATGTGAACTTTGAAGACACAAAATAGTCCTTGGGTTTTAGTACATGTTGCAGAGTTAGAGTCCTTCTCTAGCTCAGAAGTTTCAAGAGAACTGCTAGAGAGGTTGTTCAATTGCAGATGCTGATTGTGGTGTGGAGTCCTTGGGTGAGGTGGCCCCACGCTTGGTTGTTAACTGAAAGGTTGTAGGTCTGAGTTTCCCCAGGGGTGTCTCAGAAGAAACACTTGGAGAAGTACTCTGAACAACTAACCCCTGAGAACAGCATTGAGCACAGTTCTTTCCTGGCATATGTTGGGTTGCCATGAGCTGGAATTGCCTTGGGAACAATTCTACATTTCTGAAAAGTCCCAAGGTGACGCTAACACTGCTAATTCCCATATTACACTTTGCGCAGTGAGGTTCTAGACACTTGTTTGGTGCTCTCTCTCATTTTATAACTAAATTCATTGTTGGGTAAATGTTAGTTTCCCTTCTCAGAATGAAGACAGTAATCTCCCTATATCTATATAAGACCATATATTTTGTCAGACTAAATTATATAACACCTAAAGTATACTGTTAGGTAGATTTTGTCAGTTTTACTTGTTTGTAATGCCCGATCTCTGAGCGACTTGTGATAAATTTTGAATCATTTTAGCCACATGGTTTTTATTGAAAGGGAAAGAAAAGTCCTGAGCATTGACTTCGAATATCAAGATCTCTGAGTTTCTAGGACTTCTTTTTTTTTAGCTAGATGATTTCCAACCAATCTTTAAGAATTAATTCAGTGGGAAGAAGATATTATCTCCTGAGATTCTAAAGTATTTCTGGAAAATTGTCTTGTCCTATCTTTTGATCTAGTAGAAATGAATGGAGAGAATTTATAGATTTCTAGTTTCCTAGAAAAACATCCCCCCTGGATAACTTCTGCTCCCAAGTTAGTAAACTTGTGCTTGTTTATACCCACTGATTTTGCTTTGCTCATAAATTGGAGAAACTATGTCAGTGATGTTGCTATGTGTGTGTTGTTGTGTGCCTTGAAATATATGGTGAAATTTCAAACGATTTTGTCATCTGCTTTGGCCTTGAGATGGGCTATATAGTTCTGCTTGGGGTAAGATTAATACATGCTTTTTTTCCTTGTATTTTTTTTTTTAAATTAACTCTCTTTTTTATTTTACATTGGTTTTTGTACAAAGTTCATATAAATTGTGTTCCACACTATCCTTCATTCACATTATGTTTCGTACAATTATTCACTATGTTGTATAAAGTCAAACACCATTGAACTGTTCCATCATTACCCTGTCTTTCTAGATCCCTGCCAGATCTTTCTCATTTGCTATACTTTCCCTCCTTCCACCCATCAAACTTGTGCAGCCTTGTGATTTCCCCCCTGCCCACCCTCACCCCCTGTTTCCAACCCTTCCCCCCCTTGGATCCCCATACATGTTTTACTAGTTATCCTTCTGTTTTACAATAATAGTCTTAAGCAGTATTAATCTGTATGAGACTGACTTTGTTCACTCAGCATAATGCCCTCCAGTCTCTCCCAAGTTATGTAGTAATTTTTGAAATTGTTATTCTTGAGTGCTGCATGTTGTTGTTGTTGTTATATGCTGTCGAGTCGCTTGTGACTCATAGAGACCCTATGTACAACAGCCATAAACTCTGCTCTGTCCTGTGCCAACCGCACCATCTCCAATAAACCCATCCCGATTATCCCAGTCACTGAATCAGTCCACCTCATAGGGGGCCTTTCCCTCCTGTGCTGTCCCTCCACCCTACCAAGCATGATGTCCCTCTCCAAGGACCGGTCCCCTCCTTACAACATGTCCAAAGTATGTTAGATGGAGCCTCAGAATCCTTACCAAGGAGCCACCCGGTTTGACCCTTTCCAGGATGAATCTGTTTGTTTTCCTAGCAGTCCGTGGTACTCTCAATACTCTTCTCCAGCACCACAGCTCAAGGGCATCAATTCTCCTTCTATCTTCCTTAGTCACTGTCCAACTCTCTGATGCATAACAAGTGATAGCAAAGACCATGGCTTGTATCAGACACACCTTAGTCTCCAGAGAGGCACCATTGCGCTTCAATACTTTGGAGAGGTCCCTAACAGCAGATTTTCCCATGGTAATACGTCTTTTAATTTCCTGGCTACTGGTGCCAAGAGTTTTGACTGTGGAGCCAAGCAAACTAAAGCTGTGAACAATCTCAATCTCTTCACCGTCCATCCTGATGCTGCCATTTGGCCCAGTGGTGAGAATCTTTGACTTCTTGACATTGAGTTTCAATCCATATTGGAGGCTGCAGTCCTTAACCCTTCTGCAGCAGGTGCTTCAGGTCCTCCTCAGTTTCAGCAAGCAGTATTATGTCATCTGCATAACACAGGTTGTTGATGAGTCTTCCACCAATCCTGATGCCACACTTCTCCTCATAGCACCCAGCCTCCCTGATAATCTCTTCTGCATATAGGTTGAAAAGGTGTGGAGATAGGCGTACACCCTTCCCAATTTTGAACCATACAGTGTTTCCTTGCTCTGTTCTGATGGCTGCCTCCTGGTCCAAGTATAAGTTTCACATTAACACGATCAAGTCTTCTTATTTTACTTACTAATTTTTGGTTCTGGGTGTTTTTGGTTTGTTGGTCTGGGTTTTTTAAGCTATTCTTATTCTTCTTTTCTTTTTTGTAAAATTTTCTACTAGTTTATTTGCAAAATTTGAATACATTGTTTTCAAGAACAAATTCTTTCAATTTCCCTCACTCACCATCCATCAAATTTTACAACCTGATGATTAATCCCCCTCCCCCTGCATATTCTCATCTCTCAGCTTCCAACCTCTCCCACCCCTCTTGGATCATTATACTCATTCTACAACAATGGTTTTACACAATATTTATCCTTATGGGACAGAGTTAATTCACTCAGCATAATGCTATCCAGTCCCTCCCAAGTTAGGTAATCATTTACAAAATCATTGCTCCTGTTTGCTGCATAGTATTCTATTGTGTGAACGTACCATAATTTCTTAATCCATTCGTTTGTGGTTGGACATTTGGGCTGTTTCCATGTCCTTGTGACGGTGAATAATGCTTCTGTGAACATTGGTATATAATCTCAGTTTGCGCCTCAGTTCTCATTTTCTCTATGTTCAGCTTTTTGAGGAAACGCTAAACTGCCTTCCAGAATGGTTGTACCATTTTATAATCCTATCAACAATGCATAGGAGTTCCTTTCTTGCCCCATCTTCTCCAACATTTATAACTTGCTGCCCTGCTAAACTTTGCCACTGTTACTGGAGTGAGATGGTATCACATTTTGGTTTTGATTTGCATCTCTCTTATTGTCTTTGGAACATTTCTTCATGTCTCTGTTTGCCATCCAGATATCTTCTTCTGTGGAAATTCTTTCCATGTCTTTTGCCCATTTTGTAAGTGGGTTATCAGACTTTTTCTTGTGTAGGCCTAGAAGTATTCTGTAACTTTTGTTAAAAGACTCTTGTCTGAGAAGGTATTTCCAAATGTTTTTCCCCAATCAACAGGTTTTCTTTTCACCCTGTTGGAAAGTTTTTGATACACACATGAATTCAATCTTTCGAGGATCCCATGCATCAATTTTATCCTTTTTAGATTGTGCATTTCTGGTTGTATTTGGCAGTCTCTTTATACCTTGGACTAGCATTTCTAAGCTTGATCCTAGTTTGTCTTTTATGAACGTTATGGTTTTGTTTGGGTTTTACTCCCAGGTCTCTGATTCACCGTGAATTGATTTTTGTGTATGGTGTGAGATGTGGGTCCTGTTTCAGCTTTCTGCAAATGATTGTGTAATTTTTCCAGCAGCATTTGTTTAAGAGGTTATCATTTCCCCAGTTGATAGCTTCAATTTCCTTATCAAATATCAATTGACTATAGGTAGCTGGGTCTATTTCTGGGTTCTCAATTTTGTTCCATTGATCTATTGTCTGTCATTATAACAGTACCATGCTGTTTTGGTTACTATTGTTGTGTAGTAGGTTTTGAGGTCAGGGAGTGCTATGCCTTCAATTCTATCAAATGAATGTACCACAGTTTCTCAACCCATTCAATTCTATTTGGACATTTGGATTATTTCCATGTTTTTGCTGTAACACTTCCATGAACACTGGTGTACAAATATCCATTAATGTCTCAGTTCTAATTTCCTTGGGGTATATTCCTAGGAGTGGAATAGCTGTGTCCTATAGGATTTCTATGTTCAGTTTTTTTAAGGAAATGCCAAACTGCCTTCCGGAGTGGTTGTACCATTTTACAATCTCACCAACAGTGTATGAGAGAGTTCCAATCTCTCCACGTCCTCTCCAACATTTATTGCTTGCTGTCCTGTTGATCTTGACATTAAGGTATATTTTTATGTGGCATAATCATGCCTAAAAATGTGTCTAATGTCTTATGCAGGTTGTGTTGTAGTCTGTAGGGAGTCGCGCTGCTAACCCCTAAAT